GCGTCGTCGTCTCTCTCTCTCTCTCTCTCTCTCTCTCTCTCTCTCTCTCTCTCTCTCTCTCTCTCTCTCTCTCCCTCCCGCCTGACGGCCGTCATCAGTCTCCGTCGACGAAAACATGTCTCTCATCGCCGACTGCTTTCGCCGTCTGACGAATAGCTCGTCCTGCAAAAGCGAGGTATATACAACACGTGCTGCTTATCTGGCATGCTAGTTGCGCGATAGTTGAGGCGCATGATATATCGGAGTACGGAGTAGAGATGTACGCTTTAAACGCTGCGTTCCTGAGGATCGACCTGGCAGCCGATAAATTTTTCTTTCTTAGAGAAACGCGCAAAAATGCTCCTTCCCTTTAAATAATGATTCTTATCGAGCGTTCATTTTTAAATTAAGCTCCACTTATTCTGGGATTAAATGAGACGACTTATGTATATGTGAGAAGATTTCTATCGCTGATTTGTTTCGTTCCGATTGTGAAAATGTAGTTAAGTATTTACTACTTTTCTGTTAACAGCATCGCGGTATTTACTAATACTAGACTCTCGTATTCACTCTTCTAATATATGTTAATGTCTAAGATTTATCATTGAAAAATACTTGCATGTAGGAATGCGAGTGGCATATCACGATTTGTAATCAATCTGTCATTTTGTTGGTAGTCAACAACAAATACATATACGTAATGGCGTGCATATGAGAGGGATTGATGAATTTTAGTATCAGCGGCTTTATTGTTCATGACACATGCATTTTGACGTGACGTGTCGAGTGGCCTCAACTGGACGCCATTGAATATAAAATGGGTCACTCGAAGAAATTGTGCACGCGCACAACTCTGAAATCTGACGGCCTTGAACGTGATGCAGAGTGCAATTACGCGGTTACTTGGTCCGAGATAATCTAATGTTGCGCGACGTCACGTTTAATGTCACTTATTTGGTTGGCGAAGTCTAATGTGTATCGCTGTCATTTTCATACTTTTATAATTATCCCTTTATTTATTTTATTTTCATTTATTTATATAATCTTTTATTTATCACATTTGTTATCATTTTATACATCAGAGGATACATTAGTCTATGAATTGCAAATATTTGAATAAAATATTAAATTTGTAAAATGAACTTTTGCCAGCAATAAATATAGATATATCAATAATTATTACTCCTAATGTAAAATATTTTATTCGAAATGTTAACTTTTTCTATCTGAATTTATTTCAGCTCAAAGGCTACAAAGTTACGGATGTGAGCCGTACGCGGAAAATCGGTGTCGCCTGTCGAAATTTTCAGGATCTGAAACGAAAAGCATGTTCAAAATTAAACGTAAGTACATATTGATATATATCAATAGTAGACATTAAATTTACATGGCTTACGTTCATCTAATTTCGGACAACGATATGTGCATGCCGGAACAGAAGTCGTATGAATAATTCAACGCATTTTTACACAATGTAAACTGCGCGTTCACGAAAATATATATATGAATTATCGTGTAAATTCTGCGCATTTCCATTTATCGAGTATTTAGACAATGACTCCGTGGGTTTGAACTGGATATATCTTTGAATGAATTGTATTGCTCGTCATGTAAATAAACAAGCTTTTATTTAAAATAATGGAGCAATTAGTGTTATTTAAAATGTTGGAGATACGTTCGAGATAAATTGAGCTATCCTCGACAGAAATTTCATATTAGAAAGATGAAATGAAATGAATATTTGTTATTTCTATTTCAAATATTTTTTGTTCGTCGTATTTCAAATATAAAATATCCGCATTGTTTACGATAACAAAGTGATCGCGACACAATGGAGAGCAAAAACAGCGAAAGCGTTGAATGAGCGTAAGTCGATTCATCGCTGCTCGACTTACGCCCGTTAAATACTTTGCAGAATGTGGAATTTGTCCTCGCAGTCGAAAGCATAAATAGTGCCCGGTGCATCTGCACTAAACGATCCATTGTCGTTTGGATTTACTTGACTGTCGCACTCGCTTCAATACGTCTCTTCCTCTTCATTACGCGCGCACTCAATCACTTAAACTGTGTCAAATAAATCCTGACTTCGTTCTTTCTTCCAGCGAGCTATTTTGCAATCGTTCACCGTCCGTGATGATTTTTAGTCGGTTATACAAACTCCCCAAGGTAGCAAGCAAACTGGAAATTGACACGTGGCATAGGTCACAGTGCTTACTTAATATAATATTGCGAAAATAGAAAGCCATTCTTAAACATGCACGGAGATGTGCATCGAGTAAGAATATTGTGTAGAAATTATGCAACCTCATAAATATACCTATTCTTGAAATATCACGTCATCAAGCGTGAAAATGATAATATAAAAATAACCAGCAAAGTGAAGTTTAATTATACCTTGAAAGCCATGTGTTTTACTCGAGTAATATCATTTTTACGTAACACATATTGATATCGTGTAGTGTGACAAAATATCTTCTATTTTAATTGTTGAGGAATTATTCAAATTTTTCTTATTCTCCTTAGGGCATCGTAAGGAAAAATATGAATATATTAATTATTAAAAAAATTGAAATATTATTCGATGCGTTGAATGTTGGGTCATGTTTCTCTCTTGTGATGTGATAATACGAGTGCTTAATAAAATTGCGATAATGTGACGAGGATATCGACGAAGGGATATACGCGTAAATGTATTCTGGCTTAAGATCAGATCGATCATACCGAGCACGTTTTTCAACGAATGCCCTTGATGTAAAAGAGACCGGAAACATATAGCATAGCATAGGTGATAACATTTCGCGGGGGTAGGTTGATCCGGTTGCAGCGCGTCCTTGAAATCCGCATCCGTCCGCCCGCAACCGCTGGCTCTATCGAACCAGCCGGGCCAGGGACAGGAAGTAATCTCAATGTTAAGGTCGTGAATCCGCTTTTCGCGTTGGCTTAAAAGTCGACCCAAATAATTCGCTAGGCCAATGTCAACGCAACCCGACGCGAAATCGTGAACGTTTGCTTCTTAAAATTGCCAAATAAACTGTTATTAAAAAAGATTATAATCTTCAAGCCGTATTTTTTGCATTCAAATGCATTTAAAAATTAAATTAAACATCTCGTATTCTCACGCGACGTGTAACAGAAGTGTTAAATTAATGAATAATTAATAAGGTAAAATGTATTGATGTCGTATTATATTAAACATTAAACGATTTGCTCTTAGAAACAGTATTGTATCATAATTAATAATGATAATCTTAGCACGATACGATCAAATTATTTTTTTTCTTGATATCTGTGAGAGCTCGAACTTTTAATAATGTATACTCTGCTGCTTTGAGAAAAATTGATGGCTAATCGATCTTCATTCACTATTCGAAATCGCTAGAGAAATGTGAGAATGATGTCGTCATGCCCGAAGAAGCGATGTAAAAGTTATAAAAGTTGCGTTATAGAAACCTTGTATTTGGCCTTCGGAAATTATTCATGGGATGAAGAATGAGAATGCATTATATTGTAGCCTTGACGTTTGTTTAAGATATCGAATATTCTCTCGTATTACTTCATTATTATTTATTCAATAGTTTACGGACGTTAATTAATTTGCGAGCAAAAAGGAAAAGCAGGACTCTTTCAATGCAAATACGTCAAACATAATACTTCTTGTCTGAAGAGATTGTCTGAGGAGACTTGATTAATTAAGATGGTAACTTGATCGATTCTGCATTTTTCTAGGTAAGTAACGATCCGGCGGAAGTGAATGTCTTTCTCTTGGACGGATCATTGATTGATGAGGAATATTTTCGCACATTGGAGCCACAAACCACTTTGATTTTACAGAAGCCAGGGGAAAAAGTATTGTCTGGTATGTATGTTATTAAATATAATATAAATTTTTTAAAGATTGGACCAAGTAACGTGACTGAACGTCAACAATGACATATAGAAGATATTATGTGATGGAATATTTTATTCTTAACTATTGAGGTGACGTTAATTATTTCAACCGTAATTATTGTAATTATCCTGTGTCGAAGAAATAGATCCATGATTGAGAAGGTGATTATATGATAATCAAAGAATTAGAATTGATTGAAAAATTAGTCGCGTCGCGCAATTGCAGTTTTACAAAATTATTGCATATAAAATTTTCAAGTCTTAAATAATTTTATTTAGTTTCAAATTTTACTATTTTTCTAAATATAAAATTTAAAAATAAAAATTTATTATTAATGTTTTTTTGTTTCACATTCTTGTTTCTAAGAAAGGGAGAGAAAACGATCATCATTTTTAACATTTTTTGTGCAGATTTTTTTTACACGCGTATGTAGATTCTTGCAATCGATGCTTTTTTGCAATTAATTTCTTAATATTTTTGTTTATAAATTGTTTTGTATCTGTATATTTGTGTGTATTTTCATCATATCATTCTTCTTGATACTTTTATCTTGTGCATCTATTATTTGATACATATCATAACTGAAGTACATTTCTGAAATATATTGGTCTTAAAATTTAAAACAAGTTTATCATACGATAATAAACGTATTGCATTTGGCCAAACGCCAAAGTCAAATATTCCGCCTTAACGTCAACCTCTTAAAGTTTGTGAATTTCTTGGCAAAGCCAAATGCGGCTCTCGAGATGGAAGAGGGAAATAGACTGCGATCTTTTCCGATATGCACGAGGACGCTGTGCGATTTTTTTTCAAGGACGAACGATTTCTCGCAGATGCGGACATTCTCTACGATGCATTGAGACGCGTGAACATCGATTTCCTCACCGCCGGCGACAGGGTGACGCAATTTCTGACGGAGAATCTCAAAGCAAAAGTCGCCTTATTGAACAGAGTATTGAACAAAGATAACTCTAAAACAGCACTCAGCTCAAGGGACGAGCATCCGGAGTGGTTTGAAGATTTAGAAACTAATTACATGACGAAGGTGAGTTTAATAAACGTTCTTGAAAATATTTTCGCTAAACTTATATGTAGATTTTTTTAACAATTGAAAATTAAATTTAATTGTATCAAAAGTTATTATATATGGACAAATTTAATTTCAATAAAATTTTACTTGCTTGTTTTTGGTTTTGTTCTTCTATATTGCTTTGCAAATATAATGAATATACTTGTTACTTTTAATGCGTGTACATGCATCTAATACAATTAATTTTTTTTTTTAATTTACAAGCAGTATTTTGGAGGAATTTATAACACTAAGATTAAAAAACGCAAACACTGAATTTTTATTTTATTTACAGGAAGCATATATGCATCGCAGATGTCAGGACAGAATACGCACTTACCTTTATAAAACGATCGAGCAGATAAAGTGCTCGGACGTGTTTATGAACGATTACAAGGCGAGGCAGCAGCTCTTGCGTACCATAGCATTCTTTAAAATTCAGCTCAAGGAGGATCACTATTTCGGGTATTACTTCGACAGGAGTAGGGCGGAGACTGACTCTAAGGGCGACAATGACGAGACCGATTCCGGTCGATGTTACGAGCACTGTCCTTGTAATTTTGGTCGTATTAGTGATGAAACGTATCTCCGTCAACGATATATCCGTCTGCCTCAATCCTCGGACACGGACGCGATTGTCGATTCAGATACGATCGACGAGATAGATGCGAGAAAATTTCTCGAGAAAAACGCAAAAACGGCGAATGACGAGATACCGGAGAATTGCCCTTATCGTGTGAAATCGCGAGAAAAACAAATCGCCATTTGCGATAAAAACGGCGAATTTAAATGTGAGGGTCGATGGAATATGGATGGCTGCTCTTATAGTGATAGACACAAGATCAATCCGTATAGATCCAAGGAGGAACTTGCCTTATTCTCTACGTGGAATTTGGATCACAAGTAAGATAATATTATACATATATTTATACATATTATAATATTTGTTAATTTGGATTATTGTTATTCTTAGCGCCAGATTTTAGAAAATCATAAGTAAATAAGTTAATAAGTAAAAATTCTTATGATAATTTATTTCTGGACCAATTATTGATATATAAAATTTTAATAATCGACAAAATTTTATCGCTTTTTATTTGTTACATACGTTTCAATATTATATACAAAAATAATTTATCTATTTTGTAATAAATATAATTTTAACAATTGTAATGGAGGAATTTAACTGTTAAAAAAGTTGAATTGTAGATTTAAAATTATTTATCGTTTGCAGAATTGAAAGGTCCAGGACGCTTGTTCCGAAGTTGCTTCAAATCTCACAACAAGATACGATCAATGAACAAGACATCTATGACTGTTACGACAATCTGTTTACCGTGAAGAATTTAAGGCTAGTCCATATCGTGTGCCATGATAAAGGATCGCACAAATAAGTGCTAAATCTGGAATTACAGATTTAATATATATTACGCTTCTAATAGTATTGATTGCATATGTGAATGCCAAAGAGTAACCATATATGAATGAAATGATGCATTCAGATATATAATATATAGAGCATCTATATGCGCGACTTTCTCGCATGTAGATCTCTACAAATGAGTAAATTTAATACGTTTAAGAATGTGCTGTTGATAGAATATAGATTTAGCAAGTATTAATGTTACACTATATCGTACTTCCATTGCGGCACAAAATAATAAGCAATAACATTTAATAACAGAATATCCGCTTCAAAGTTCCAAATATCTGGATCAATTTTGTTTTTGAAATATTTCAAATTCAATTTCTTAAGCAATAATTTTTTAAAATAATATTAACATGTCAATTGCATTTTGCTCTCATGATTATTGTATAAGAATTTAAATAGTAACAGGGTTGAGAATAAGACAAAAACTAGCGAAACGCGAGAAAGAGGACAGAGAAAGAGAGAGAGAGAGAGAGAGAGAGAGAGAGAGAGAGAGAGAG